ACTTGCTTGTTTATCACTAAGTTCTCGTTCAAGATCACTAAAAAAAATAATAAATTCATATTTGATTATTTTTTTGTAATATATTGTTTTATTTTATTTTTTCTTTTACGTCATATAACCAGCTAATTTATCAATTTTTCCATTTAATTCTTCAATACGTAATTCAGTTTGTTTAATTCGTGCAATATGATCTTTTTGACTTCGTTGTTCTTGTTCTAGATTTGTTTTATCAACTTGTTGTTGACGATCAATTGAATCATATTCTTCAGAAAATTGTGTCATTTTTTTTGATGCTTCTTCTTTTAAACGTCGATATTCTTTCATCTAATAGGAAAATAATTTGTTTTATTTTTGTTTTTTGAAAAACTAAAATTTGATTTACTTGATTTTCTTCAAGTGCTAAATTACGACCACTACTTTGTGATTCATCTTGTAATTTATCTTCATATTCTTTTTGTAATCGTTCAACTTCACGTAAATCAGTTTCATATTTTTCAATTTCTTCATCATGAGCAGCATGAGTTTTTTCAGCAGCAAGAAGAGTTTTTCTATAAATAAAATTAAGATTTTCTAAATAACTTTTTATCAAGACCCAAATGACTATTTAGTGAGTCTTTCCTTTGTCAGAAATCGATTTTGGACTACATACATTCAAACTTTATGAAAGTCTAAATTTGTAGTAAAAAGTGACACAAATCATCGAAAAACAAGTCGATGTGTTCAATGAAAAACAAACAAAAATCATATTCACTGTGAAAAACCTATGCTGGTTTGAACTTTAATTTTGACGGAAATGAATTTTATATGAGGGCAGGACTTAAGAGGAGCCGTCTCACAAATGAACTTACGCAGGGAAGGTTTTCAGCATGAGGATTCGAGCTAAGCATGTTGGGGTGGTTTTTAAATTATAGAGTACCCTTAGGACTAGATCCTAATAGAGCTCGATTTTTTAATTTTCCTTTGTTTGCTTTAACAAAAAAATTTTCTCAAATTCGTAGCCCAAAAAATTGCTATTTAGAATCAAAGGCCTAAGCTTTGTATTTAAACGGAGGAGAAATTCAAAAATCTGGCTCTATTAGGATCTAGTCTCACATGTCTGCTGTATAACAAGGAAGAAAGAATGGAAAATAAGTTTTTAAAAATCTTATGTAATATTCCTTAAAGCTCATCATAAAATCAGTCAACCATAGTGTATTTCAGAGTCAGTGGAGTACCCAGGATTTTTTAGTATGCTGAATCTAGACTTCCGAGCATGGGATCCAGATGATGGAGTTTTATCAAAAAAATCTTGCACTCGGAGTTTGCGAAAAAAATTAGCATTTTCCTGGGCCCCCCCTCCTAGGATTTTTTTTGCTGTTAGTAGTATACTGGTTTTTAGAGTTTCAAAGGAA